GAAAAACGTAGCACGGCGTCGTTATCACGCTCTCGGCGTTAACAAAGCACTGACAGCAGAAATGTGGTACATACTCTCGTATACTCTTTGGTTTGTCAGCTGGATGGCGGTACTTGTATATGATGAATATAGGATAAAAAGAAGCGAGATGGTGGTACTTGAACTGTTCACTAGATGGACGGACGAACGAACGGACGGACGGGCGGACAGACAGACACACCGAAGGAAGGACGGACGAACGAACGCATGGACGCACGTACAGACGGGCGCACGGACGGACGCACGAACGGGCGCACTTACGAATAGAGGGACGTATGGACGGAAGCATGGACGAATAGATGGACGCTTCGCCCCACTAATCATCATTCATTCCGTGGATATGGGTGATTTTTTTTCGAAAAAGCGGACAACTTGAGTTTTATTTATGAAGAACTTCCTGGGAAGAGCTAGGGAGGCGGAGGTTAATACAACTCTTTTGACGTAATTAGCGCCTCAGATCAACAAATATTGATATTGTGGATGAACGACACTGCTTCGGAGTATGTTGAGTAGACGTGAGTATAAACGTGAATCAAGATACAGCTGATAGCAGTGCTGAATGTGATTAGATGAGACCATAGGCTAGCAAAGGAAAAATGGAACTCACTGAGACTTAAATCATTCGCTTTCGACTCACTGAGACTCAGACTCATCAATGTTTTCCTGAGCCGAACTCACTCGGACTGAAACTCACCAAAACATTACTCACTCTCAATCAGACTCTCAGCTATATCGTAGTCTGAGCGAGTCTGAGTTAGTCGACTCATGAGTTCGCCGACTTATGGACCACTTCACGTGTAAATGTAGGAGCCGTATGTTCCCTGTTTAGTCGAAGCGAGCTGCCACGCCCGATTGCCCTGCGTACAATACCCTCCGAAAGTCCCACTCAGCCTTTTGCGCCGGTGCATTTCGATCATCTCTGCTTGATCCTCAATCGTCGGTTGCCCTAAAGCGCCTTCAGTCAAACGTACAGCGTACCAATCGCGGTACAATGTTATCGCCTTTAGATATTATGCGGAAGCTCACGAGGACGCCGACAGCGAAAGTCCCCCAGGCCCCTGGAGTGTCCATATAATAGGTACTGCAATAATAATAATAATAATAATAATAATAATAATAATAATAATAATAATAATAATAATAATAATAATACTAATAATAATAATAATAATAATAATAATAATAATAATAATAATAACGTACACATGACCTTCTCAATGAATTTGGAAATGGCAGTTCATTTTGACCACTGGAAGACAAGATGTCATTTTTTTAACAGCGGTGCTGTTAACTTGCATTCCATCGCGCGAAACTCCACAGGTGGGTATAGGCTACAGGGATCGGGTAAGGCCCACTATGCCGATTACAGCAGGTGCCAGCGTTAAACGAGCAACGTCTACTTGATGAAACGGAGGACGTGAAACTCGCGAAAAAGAGAGCGATAAAGAAAGAGATAGAAAGAAAGAGAAAAACGAAATACGCAGAAAAGAAGAGAGACGGGTAAATAAAGCAACAGCAAGAATAAAAAAGAAAGGCTAAAAGATGAGCAAAGAGAAGAAGAGAGAAAGAGATAAATAAAGAAAAAGAAACGAAGAGTGATAAAAAGATATGAGAAAATGCAGAAAGAGATAGAAAGGAGCCGACACAAAATCCATTCAAAATATATCAAGACAGAAAGAGAGAGTGATATATGAACGAAAAAGGAGAGCTAAGAATGGAAGAAAGAGTATTAAAGATGGAAAAACTGAGAAAGGGAAAAGTAGAGATAGAGACAAAAGAAATAGAAGTAAATAAAGATACAGAGGAGAAATAAGAGATGCAATAAAATACTGACACGAAACAAACAATATAAAAAAATGAACAGAAACGGTTCCGCTCCAGCGGAGCTGGAACAGAAACGGTTCAAGCTCCGCTCTATCTTCAGACTTGGCCCCACCAGTGCGAAGCTGCCATAATTAGGTTTAGCTCAGCAAATAATACTATATCACTGTCCGCCGCGATGGTGTAGCGTTTATGGGGCTCAGCTGCTTACCTGAAGGTCGTGGGCTCAATTCCGACTGAGGCGGCCGCATCGAGGCGGAATGCTCGAATACCGTGTGCTTAGATTAGGGTGCACAAACCCTAATTAAGTGGTAGAACTTTCTGGAGCCCTCCACTGTGGCATTCGTCATAATCATGTCGTGGTGTTAGGAGGTAAAACTTCTGATATTATTATTATTATTATTATTATTATTATATTATTATTATTATTATTATTATTATTATTATTATTATTATTATTATTGGTAGTAGTAGTAGTGGTGGTGGTGGTAGTATTAGTATTATATCATACTGATGCTGCTAACGCGCATGGTGTACAAACCAGGTCTGGTGGGGGTTGGCCAGCACTGGTTAAGGCGCAACTTCAAGCAGAGCCGTTACGTTTCACGGTGCACATCGCACGTATCGAAGCGTAAAAATACATGACCCTGGAAGCAGGTAGGACTGAAATGATTACCCTATTTTACAAACAGCCAGGGCACAGAGGTTATGCGCGTGGCATTTGCTGGCTACATCGACCACTAACGAAATTTTTCAGGACATTCCCGGGGTTGAACTATTCCGAGCAGAACACGACACTGAGATGAACGTTGTCTTTACGGCTCGTTTTAGTGAGTGGCGCCAGATCAAGATCGTTATTGCGGCTGGCGCGCGTGGGCGGTCCTCTCTCACTAACGCATCTCGGCTCCGTGCCATGTCGACGACGCAGCGAGAGATCGCGGCCCCTTTGGGTACGCGGCAGATCTCATCTTTCGTGCTATATAGTGCGCTTTTACAGGCCATGCGATTTGGTTTCACGCCTGCGGGAAATGTATACTCGTCAATTGGTGGTGTCGTGTCCATTACAACAGATGGGAATGCATGATTGTTTGAAGCACCGGTAATACCCTCTATTTATAATCCACAGCATTCGTATTTGCAGACGCCGATGGTGACGATGTAGATTGCCTTACCTACATGCCCATAGTTATGAATCCGCAATATTAAAATGCACAGGTGTTTCTACTGAAACGTACGTGCACAATTAATAGAGTAGAGAAAGAGATGAAATGTTTATTGATTTGATTGCACACGCACTGTGCGCCCAAAGTGGGTGGCCTCCTCTCCTTATTGCGAGGAAGTTGCTTCCTTCTAAAGCCGCGAAAAGTAAACGCTCTCTTCATATGCATCAAGCGCATAAATTTGGATGCATGAAAAAAAAAAAACCTTGAATATATATTTGAAGATATTTGTTGAATCTGTTCTTGCATGTCATTGACAGAGGACATTGCATCTGAAGGTGACAAAGGAACTGCGGAAGTTTTTGATAAAAACGGAGCTCAACAAGTGGCTTTGACAGTGATGTCGCGTTCCGCGCCAGATTGAAGGATTGTGACTGGCTGCGTGCTTGTATGCGTGCTGCTTGATGTGCTGTCTTTCTCTGTCTTCTCTTTCCTCTCCCTTTTCCAATATCCCCCATCCTGTTCCTGCGTATAGCGTGGCAAACCAGTTATCCTGGACTGGTTAACCTTGTTACCTTTCCTTCTCTGTCATTTATTCTCTCCATCTTATTGGTCGAAGTACAAATCTTTCTTTGCATACTTGTGAATGTTCAGAACACACATTTTCGACATCGCAATAAGTGAATAGATAAATAAATAAATCAAGCGTCGTATCAAAAAAATACTGCACCTCGTAACGAAGACTCACGAGGAGTCCCTTGTACGCTGAAGAAAAATAATTTCACGCTGTGGTCCAGGGGCGAATTCACGTGGAGTATCGATATATCACTACAGGCCCAGAATCCAATAAAACAAGTAATCACACGGACTCAGCATAGGGTCTCTGCTTGCAAAAACTCCGACCTATCTAAGAAAGACAGCCGGAGCAAGCATATAAGAAGCTGTAGAAGTTACAGAAAATCAAATATTCAAATAGAAAAAAAGAAGTCATTTATACTCGTTTAAGTTACCTTAGTAAACTTTCCGTGATAAGTATTCAGCTCTGGGTTGATTGTCATAGAAATCTCTTATGGAAGATCTCCCGTATTCGCTCACGTCAACACCGGTGGTCGTTATATGAAGAACAAGACTATTTTGGTAACTCCAGGTAAAACGTGAGACTGATGCGAATTTACCTAAAATGAGCCTGCATGTATGTCAATAAACTATTTTTTGAATAATTTTGATCCATCAACGACTCTTCCAATGTAAACAAAATATGGCCTGCTTTCTCTCCGATAGTCAGTGATGCGATAAAATGCATTGCAATATTATTAATATATTGTAAATAAACGACTAAAATCTCGAGTAAACTGATTATCAAAGGGTACGATCGGGGTTTTAGCTTTAGTTCACTCCAAATACCCTCCTTGAACTTTTACTTCAATAAAATTTCAACCAGGAAGCTAAAATGCATAAGCGGACTGGTTTTTCCAAGAAACAGACACCCTATTGGTGCAAACCTTGCAATTACTTCTTTCTGCATAAATTTACATGAAATCAGGGATGGGGGTCAAAAGAGAAAGACAGAGCGTAGGACACATATATCAGTGACATTCGATACGGGACAAACACGCAAAAGTATTTAACCAGATTTTTTCTTCGAAACACTGGATATTTACTCTTGCGTACTTTTGTCCGTCGATGACGTGACTGCAGCGGTGTTGCTGGGTGCAAAACGTGGCATGCACAGACGGTTCAGGCAAGCCTTAGGTTCCTGCTTGTTTACTGTTACGACAGTGGGAACCGCTAAGGCGCACATTATCGCGTTATTCGTCAACGTCGCGCACCAAGGCACACCAGCAGCTCCCGTCGCAGGTACCCTGCGATGAACGCGGACCTGGTACGGGCACTGCGTCAGGAGCGGCGGGAGTGTATGTGAGGTGGGAGGCGGCGGCCAAGCCGTGCGTATCGCCGTCGGTGCCACGTGCCGATGCTCACCTTGGTGATGGTCAGGGGCTGCCCAGTGCCTCTTCCCCCTTGCAGCCGGAAACCCCAGGGGCTGCCTCCGGCCAGGCGGACGGTTATCGCACTCCCCGCCATCGCGCACTGCTTGGGCGTCCAGTCGGTTCGCTCGAAATGGGGAGCCCAGCTCGCCGAGGGCCCGGAAGAGCGTTTCTTTTCTTCGCCCGGCTTGGCAGGGCAAGCGGGCCGCCGGGTGGTGGCTGCTGCGAGCGACGAGGTTGCCCCTCCGGACCTTATTTTTAGTGCCGCGATCTTCCACCACCCGACGGAGTCCGGGCCGCGTTGGCGGTGGCTCAAGGTGGACCCAGCGACTGCCGAGTGCACCGAGGGGCGTGTCGCGCTCTCGTGCACTCACGCACGCGACACGACGCAACGTTATACTAGCGGCTTCTGTAGCATCCGATGGGGTAATGCTGCTGTAATTTCTTGTAGTCTACTTGTCCCTCCGTATTGTCGGCAATCCACATCACATAGAGACACATCTTTGAGTTGGTTGTCACCTTTTTTTAACCGAACGAACGTATTATACAACAGTCGTTTAGTGATTATTACATTCCTAAATAATGCATTACTGCATGCCGACACCTGTCGCAAAACGGAACTAGATAACTTGCTTGCGCGCCAGAATTTACTGACACCATTAAAGCTCGGTGTGTTTATTTAGTATGCATGGATAGATATCACCCTTCAATGTACACGTACTTTAGAAACTGCCTGTTTGTACATAACTTCTTAAATTTTGTTTTTAGTGTAGTGTTTATTTCATCCTACAAAATGAAAGATTTAGTGCACAAAGGTATTGAAATATAGTGTTTATGTTTGCCGCCCTCCGACAAGAGACCAGTGGTTTGCAGACTCTTCAAAGAATTTCGAAAATATATATTGATTACAGTAACGTAAGTGTTCATTCTTAATGTTTTGAACTGGCTGCCATTTTCGAGCCACATGCATTTATCTCACGCTGTGCTGTCAACCGTAAGTCATCGCTCAGTGAAAGTGTGAGAAAATTTTGTATGTTGGGCACGCAGACTGTTTTCAGAAAAATGAACAGAATAAGTTATTGTGTTAAAGAAAGAAGCTTCCTTATGAAATTAATCTGCTGAGCCTCCCTTACATTATATTATAAAATGCGTTATATAATAAAATAACATGTACATTTTCATACTCTCTTCTCACTCCGCAGTGCACCGAGAGCTGCTTCCCAATATATGAGATATTAATATCACAGAACTCCTCCATGATGGAAGCTGTGGAGTAGATAATTCAGTGGGGCCAAACATTATTTCATGAAAAGTGGTGGCGAAAAAAATTTTACGCTCAAAGTGCGTGACGCTACTTGCTGAATAAAAGCAGTCTCAGTGAATTTATTACGGAGCCAATAGATTAACATCATGGAGGAATATCTTGATATAGGTCTGTGTCAAAATTGATCTTTTGCAGAATTCTCTCTCGCAAGACAGAGTGCGAGCGATAGCTCCCAAATCTAGATTTGATCAAGTTGTGGGGATACGCGAATAAAACGCCAACATAAAAACTAGTCCAATGGATGTAATACTGACCCATATGTATTTTCCTTATGTTAAAATGAACATCGTTGAAAATCTATCGTCAACTCAAGGATTTCAGGTTACTGTAGGGGTTGAAAACCATTGCAATGTCTGCGGATCTGGCAGATCACCGCTCGTGCCAACCTCGTTCTCTTCTCCTACCCCGCATCCTCTCAGTATTGTAGCAATACGTATTTTAACCGAATAAATCATATCTCCGACTTGGGAGCCCCCGTCTAGTTTCACAAGTTTACATTGTAGGTATTGAAGCGGGGGAAGACAGTGCTCCACTGAAATAGTTGTCAAGGCCCTTCGCTTCCTCCCAGGCTGCGTTTTTTTTTTTTGCATTCCACATGGCGCCGTCCTTTGGTTCTTATTTCTTTCGCACGCAGCGCTTTTTGTGGAACAGGAAGACTGAAACTTTCAGAGCCAGCCCGCAAGATTGACAGACAGCCAAAGGCCAAGGGAGCTTTCAGCGGAAGGAGTGTGCGTGCCACGCAATGTTCAGAGCCCGGAGCATTTTAGGCGATCACAGAGAGACACCGGCCAACGGGCAACGTGCTTCTAGAAAGCCTGCGAGTACGACGAATGTCAACGCATTCTTCTCGTGCTCTTTTTCATTCTTTTATTTATTTTTTGTTGCTGTACCAATGTGCAGAGAATGACTCACCCCTTCGTCAATAATTGCTTCTTTTTATTCTGGACAAATAACTGACACTTAGCCAACCCACAGGGGCGATGGTCAGTACTCTTCAACTCGCAATATGAAGAGGAGATATAAAGAACACGAAGGAAATAAAGGGAGGAGAAAGCACAAACACACACGCGCATTGCACGTCTATCCTCAAATCATGAAATACCAGCTACCGAAACGGCATTTTGATTTTCTATTATACGACAGGCTCACTAAAAAGAAGGCGAGCTTACTTGCACACAGTTAATTGTTATGTGGAGTTTAACGTTCCAAAACCACCATATGATTATGAGAGACGCCGTAGTGGAGGACTCCGGAAATTTCGACCACCTGGGGTTCTTTAACGTGCACCCAAATCTGAGCACACGGGCCTACGTTGCACACAGTTAGCTTTATAAGAACAGGTACTCAAAGTGAATGCGTTCTTGAAGTCGGTGGATATGTTTTACAAGTGATAACGATGTGGGCATTGCTTTCTCCATGGCCTCATTTTGAGAGCACGCGCAGATAGCTCAGTCATTGAAGATGTAATCAATCACCCTATTTTGTCAACTAGATCAGTTCTGTATAAGTCAACTTAGGATATTATAATGGCTGTATGCAGTTGTACAAGCAACCACATCCTCGTTTAAAAAGAACGAGTGCTTGAAGCCACAGCGTTTGAAGCAAAGTACTGAAAGCTGAAGTTAAACCAATCAGTGCAACTGGAATGAAGACCTCGTGGTAGTAACAGAAACGAAACCATAATAACAGAACAATCATTCCCAAAAGCATCAAGTGATACTTGAGCATCATGGTTGCCAGTGGTGTGAGCTGACAGATGATTTCCACAGAATGGCGCCTTTTTCGTGGGCTCTAATTGGGTAGAGAGACGGGAAAAAGTGCATGTGAGCTTACCTTTGTATTAAAAAAGAAGCTTGCGATTATACAAAACATATCTCTTCTGAAGCTTAGACCCCTAGCGTAAACAAAGTTCCTGTCTATCATTTTTTGAATCTAATACCAAAGCGACTTCGTGCTCTCATGTCTTCTCTTCACAGTCTTTTTGCACTAAAGCAAGCAAAGATCATTGCTGGTAAAAACAATTGAAAACAATTGTATATGTATATATATATATATATATATATATATATATTTTAAAACAGAAGTGTTGTACGTCGAGAAAGCTTCAGGCGCAGCTTGGCGAAAGGTGCTTTGTGAGGCAGGTCTGGCTACCAGCGAGCGGAGTGCGCGAGCTACTACTGCAGACACCGATCATGATCGTATTCTTCAGTAACAGCAGAGCGTCCGTCATTCAGATTCGTTAAAATTACTCCCCGCGAAATAAAAAGCCATCCTGGTGACCTATGGACAAGTAAATACATCAGGGTCGTAGTAATGCTTAAGTCTCAACACGTGAACAATTTCCTAGCCACGACGACGTTGGTCAAAATATAGTTCCAGTGCCTCGATGAGGTAATTCACCGGTGACGTTTTTTGTAGTATACAATATGGGCCATGATACTTGGGGACCAACTTGGTAGAAAGGCCAGGTGTAGTAGAAAGGACATGCAGCCAGACAAGCGAACCTGGATCGTAGGAAGTAGTGCTGATTCCTGCGTCGTGGTGGTGCTTTTGGCGTCCTTGGTCTTGTGTTGTGAATGATCTTGCTGGTTGGCGGCATTCTTCAGCGTATGTAGTGGCTTGAGACAGAGTCGTGGACTCTGAAGAGTCAAGTCTGTACGAAAGAATGGTGTCCATAGTGCAAGAGGGTTCGCGTCCGTAAAGGAGGAAAAAAGGAGAGAACCCAGTAGGGCTTTGAATGGCGGTATTATAGGCGAACGTGATAAACGGGAGCACTCGGTCCCAATTGGAGTGGTCTGACGAGATATACATAGACAGTATGTCACCAAGGGTGCGGCTGAAGCGCTCTGTCATTCCATTGATCTGGGGATGATAGGCGCTTGTAGTGCGGTGAACGACGTGGCACTCACGCAGCAATGCTGGGATGACATCTGACAAGAATACGCGACCACGATCACTCAGTAACACTCGAGGTGTTTCATAACGTATTACGACGTTGTGAAGAACGAAAGTCGCAACGTCTTTTGCTGTACACGAAGGAAGGGATGAAGTTTCGGCATACCGCGTGAGGGGGTGGACGGCAACTTTGATCCAGCGGTTACCATCATCAGTGTTAGGAAGGGCACCATAGATATCGATGCCGACACAGTCGAACGGTCGAGAGGGACATTGTAAAGGTTATAAGGTACCACTGGTATGATGAGGGGGAGTCTTTCGTCTCTGGCACGTCGAGCAAGCCCGAACGTACTGTCGAATAAAACGGTACATGTCACGCCCGTAATATCGGAGCCATATGCGAGAATAAGTCTTCAGGAAACCTGCGTGGCCACATTGGGGGTTGTCATGAAACGTGAAACTAATTTCAGGTCGCAGATGACGTGGAATCACGAGTAGCCATTGACGTCCACCGGGTGCGTAGTTGCGTCGGTACAGCACGTTGTCGCGAGTGGTGAAGTGCTCGACTTGCTGGTGCAACGTGCGAGTAGAAGGAGAAGCCGTCCGCCCAGCCAGGATGTCAAGAATCGAAGCAACCCAAAGGTCCTTGCGTTGCTCAGATGGCATGTCGGCGATGGTGACGGGAGTGGCATCACAAATGAGACTTTCGCAGCAGGCAGGGTCAGGTGGTAGGGGTGAACGGGAGAGGGCGTCTGCGTCCGAATGTTCCGGCCGGAGCGATAGACCACGCGAATGTCATATTCTTGAAGGCGTAACGCCTATCGGGCGAGGCAATCACTTGGATCCTTCAGTGACGACAACCAGCAGAGCGTGTTGGTCAGTCACGACGTCAAAAGGGCTCCCGTACACGTAAGGTCGAAATTTCTGTATCGCCCAAAATAATGGTGAGGCATTCTTTTTCAGTGACAAAATAGTTGGTTTCGGCTTTGCTAAGAGTTCGGCTTGCGTAGGCAACCACGTACTCTTGGAAGCCGTCTTTCTTCAGCGCAAGAATAGCGCCTAGCCAGACACCACTAGCGTCGGTGTGGATCTC